TCATTTTTTGTCCTGTTTGTAATCTCGTCCTGTCCACTTCACATATCCATTCCAGAACTTTCAGAATTAGAATTTTTCATAAACGATTTTCTATCACACAAATACGCTGTGTTGTTATAATCCCATTAAGAAAGAAGAGAAGTTTGGTCCAACACGCATGTAGTTTCACTTTGTGAGACAATGTGCATTTGTATGCCAGTCATTGGTTGTGAGTTTGTTTTTCACATTCACATTTTTTGGTTTAGGATCATCACAACTTTATTCGTGAATCGCCTGGAGAATGTGAGTTTGACGAAGCCACAATGCAAGCCATGGCAAAGAGACTTGTAGAAGTCGATCCCAATCTAAGCCGTGTTCGTTTCGAACTTGTTCCTAAACAGTCAGTGAATTAGAATTTCTTCATTATGATCGCTGATGTGTCCACTCAGATTGAATGAAGAAAAGTTCTGGCATAACTACTTTTATCGAGTCTCTCTTATAAGACAGTCGTTAATGACAAATGCATCGGATGTACAGACACCTGTTCGGAAAGCATCTCCTGCACCGATAGAGACGCCTTCTTCAAGCGAGGTTTGTTTTTTAGCATGAATTTCCCTTATTATTTCTTCATATACATGCGTCGATAGTAATGTCAAATAGTCTACATATACAGCAACAGTGTAATTGCTCTTAAACTTGAACATAGTATCATTTTGAACAAAATTGCTTACACATTTTAAAAGCTAGAATACTTTGGAATCGGGCAGTGGAAAAAATTTCTAGAAAAATTCTGCTTACATTTGCGCGAGAATTTTTTTCTTTCAAAAAACTTTACGAGGAGCTTTTACCACATATCAAAGGATCAACTGCAAATATCAGGCCTCGGAAAAGGATTCTAATGATAATGATATAGAAGTTATAATTACAGGTAGATAAGGCATCAACAAATGTAAGTAATCCTGAACCTGTCATTGAGGACGCTCACGGTGATGATAAAACGCCAAGTGATGAAACGAATCCGCAACCAGGTAAATCTCATAGCCTTTTAATATTTGGATTAGGGGCTTCTCCCAGTAC